TCACCAAACAATTATTTTAATGCTATTGAAATATATCATACACTTGCTATGGTACGGTTTCAGGGGTACCATAAATTTAATATTTGGATGGAACTGTGGTTTCCGGAACGCTTTAAGAGGACTATGCATCTCTCCTTCAGCTTCGCCCGGCTTGACACAGTTTAGCATCCCTTCCTAATTAGCTTATAGAGAGAGATTTGCTTCAAGTCATGTACCCATGTCATAAAGGTCCTTGTTGCCGTATTTAGAAGACTGTGTCCAACATAAATCCACTCCCAAATCTCCTTCTCGTAATGAACCTCCATCGACATAATGAGTTCCTTGGAAGGAAGGCATTGTGTAAATTTAAAATACTAATGAGTCATAATGATAATGAATTATTTTCCTTATTACTGGGAGCAGGACTCAGCTTGGGCACATTATCCCATGCCTGAAGGTGTCTTCCCTACACCCGGCCCTGCCTCCCCCAGGAACCCAGACTCTAAAATAGCTTCTCCTTTTTATGTTTTTTCCTTTCCGCATCAACGCTCAGAATCCCCCAAACGTCCCTGGTCTTAGCTAGTCAGTCTCGGAGGAACAGAAGTTACAGAACTGGTTCACATTAGGACTGCAATGACCAAAGACACTCATAGCCGTCTCCAGCAGAGACCTGCCTGCGGCTTTCCAGGGATATTCTCATGAGCTGATGGCACAGGCGAACGGGTGGGGTTTCTAGCTAAGGCAAGCCCAGTGTCTCAGGGTTTGTCTGGTTACAGGAGCAGGAACCCCCTCAAGCTGACTAAACAGAATTGATCTCCTGGAGGGGGCCACAGGACGGCCTCATAGAACTCAGTGGTGGAGGCACAGCTGGGTTTTGGGGGGCATCAGGGACAGGATAGGAGAGCATGAGGCCCCGGGCGAACTTTCCCTGTTTCTCTGGGGCTGTTGTCCACAGACTCCATCCCAGCCCACCCCGTGTCTGCTTGTCCACATCTACGGGCCAAATAGGGGGGCCGCTGAGTCAAGGGTCCTGTGTCCACATGCTTGGAGGGAGAGTTTGACTGGCACAGCTTGGATCAGGAAGAAGAGAAAGTGCTGGTCACTCAGTTGTGTCCAACTTTTGTGACCTCACGGGCTGTAGCCCGCCAGGCTCCTCTGTCCATGGGATTCTCCAGGCAAGAATACTGGAGTGGGTTGCCATTCCCTTCTCCAATCTTCCCGACCCAGGGATTGAACCCAGGTCTCCTGCTAAGGTCAGGGTCACCTCTAACTCAGTCTGCTCTACCCATGTGGTCGAGGCCACATGGCCCAAACAACAGCGCCAGGCCCAAGGTCACGACTCGGTGTGTGTTGTGATAAACAGGATACGGAGTCACCCCTAAGGGTGGCGGGGAGGGGCACATTTCCGGAAGAAGTCCACCATGCCAGGCTGAGGAGTTTTCTGCTGAATCTTGTTGGAAGCCTGGAGCGTTGAAGGGCTTTGGGGCAGGAGAATGGCATTGGTGCCTGTGTTCATAGCGGGCCCGTGGTAGGATCTGTGAGCTGGGCGAGGAGCTCCTGGCGCCAAGTTCATCCGTAGGGAACGGTGACTTGCAGACAAGGGACTCGTTCCTACTCCCTTGGCACTGCAGTAGGCTGGGACTCTGTGGTTTAATGACTCAAGGAAAGAGAGATTAAAAAGAACAAAAGATTTGCCATCTGTTTTGCACTCTGCATGGACTTGCTGGGAACTTGGAAAAGTCACAGAACCTCTTTGGGATTGTCTTAATTCCAATTCTTTTCATTAAAAAATATATAAATATATACATGAAGTGAAAGTGTTAGTCGCTCAGTTGTGTTCAACTCTTTGTGACCCCATGGACTATAGCTGCCAGGCTCTTCTGTTCATGGGATTCTCCAGGCAAGAATGCTGGAGTGGGTAGCCATTCCCTTCTCCAGGGGATCTTTCTCACCCAGGGATTGAACCTGGATCTCCTGCATTGCAGGCAGATTCTTTACCATCTGAGTCACCAGGGGACCCCAAATATATACATACATATTGCTTATACATTTTTATGTTATTAACTTAGCAGATTTTTTTTAAAAAGTTCTCATTGGCTTTAATCAGAGATTCATAAAATTAGGGAGCATCCATTTAGCAGTAGATGGGGCATGAAAGAGCTGTACAAGGCTAGAAATTTTATAGGCAGAAGGGAATAAGAACAAGGAAGTTATACGGGGCATTTAGCAGATTTTTCTTGTGTTCCTCTTTGCTGGCCTGAAAAGACATGGAAGGTACATCGGAGGGGCCCCAGAAGGGAGGCTAGGAGGCTGGAGGATTCTAAATCACTTATGACCGGAAAGAGAGGCTTCATCTCCTTCTGAGGGAGGAGAAATGCTTGCTGCATGTGTAGAGTGACACGTGTTTTGAAATGATAAAGCTGGAGACCCAGGAGGCAAAAAACATGCATGATGGCTCAGATCTGCTTGGGGCTATAGCTGGGCCCCAGGAAGTAGGGTGGGGGACTTGGGATGAGGGAGAATTTTTTTTTTTTAACTGGAGTATAGTCGCTTTATAATGTTGTTAGTTTCTGCTGTACAACAACATGAATCAGCCATATATACACATATATCCCCACCCTCTTAAATCTCCTCCCCTCCCCTCTAGGTGACCTCCCCTTCTAGGTCATCTCTGAGCTCTGAGATGAGTACTCTGCAGTGACTTGCAGGGAGATCATTTTTTTTTTTTTTTTTAAGATAGAAGAGACCCCAGAAGGCCTGTTGTTAAAAACTGCAGTTTCCCCAGGAGGTTTTAGAAAAGCACCTACTACTGGCTGTGCCTTACAGGTGAGGATGAGCGGCCCGGCTAATCTTCCTACAGGGTAACTCTGAAAGTGTCCGTCCTTCGGTCATGTCCAACTCTCCTGTGGACTGTAGCCTGCCAGGCTGCTGTCTATGAAATGCTCCAAGCAAGAATACTTGAATAGGTTGCCATTTCCTTTCTCCAGGGGCTCTTCCCAACCCAGGGATTGAACCCACGTCTCCCGCATTGCAGGCAGATTCTTTACCAGGGAGCCACCAGGGAAACCCCACAGGGTAACTCTAGTAGCATCTAAATGGATACAGCATATTCTCGCAGAGGATGAAGCAGAAAACAAAACACATCACTGTCTCCTGGGTTGCGGGGAGAGGCGCAAAGGGGCCCCCCAGCTCTCCTCCATTCTGGAGGGGAGCAGTGGGGCTTCTCAGGGAGAGGGTGAAGCCTTCCGCCTGGAACCTGCTTCCAGGTTTCCTTTCCTTTCCGCCAAGGAGTCATTTATGACTATCCGTCGTGGCAGGGCTGATAGGTTTTGGCAGAAGTCCTTTCTACTTCTCGAAAATTAAATCACAGAGAGAGTCACCAGCAGTGCATGCAAAGGAAGGGTTTAAGGCCACCGCATGGAGGCGAACAGCTGTCGGAGACCCAGCATTCACCAGACATTTAAAATCGCGAACATCAAAAACAAACACGAATATTAACAAGGCTGGCCCCTCCAGCAACAATTTGGGGCATGGAGAACTGAGGATGCTGTGTGAGGTGACAGGCACAACTGAGAATCGCTAATAATAATAGTAATAATGATAAAGAAATAAAATGGTAACAACCAGTGCGCACAGAGAGCATTCCAGCTTGCACGCACAAACCCTGTGATTCCAGGAGGTGGGCTGGCCAGCTGTCATCTCCTTTTCGCAAGTTAAGAAACCCAGGCCATACTGCTCTGTCGCCCTGCCCCTGGTCACGCCATTGGCAGGTGCTAGCCAGGACTCAGATGCAGACCCTGGATCCCCCAGTGCCCTCCCCGCGGTGCCAGGCTGCTCCCGTGAGCTTGGGTGCAGGGTGGGACACGTGCTGGGCTCCAGGTAGTGGGCAGAGCTGGTCAGGCAGGAACTAGTGACTCAGGAAAGAGCCCGGGGCTTTCATTTAAACCCACCCCCGCTGCCGCCACTCCTTAACACAAGGTAATATATGTTCATTTTTGGGGAAAAAAATACACATGAGCATAAGAACATAGACATAAGCTGGTGGCTCAGACCATAAAGAATCCCCCTGCAATGCAGAAGACTGGGGTTCGATCCCTGAGTCGGGAAGATCCCCTGGAGAAGGGAATGGCAACCCACTCCAGTATTCCTGTCTGTAGAGTCCCATGCACAGAGGAGCCTGGTGGGCTACAGCCCACAGGATCGAAAAGAGTCGGACATGACTGAGAGACTAACACAGACATAATTGTCCACTCAGAGAGAAGCATGTTAAACATGTCATCCTTGCAGATACTTTTTCCTCATTCTGACCCATCTTTCCTTACAAAAATGGAATTCTGTTCTTTGTGACATTGTATAATGCTTCATTCCGTATACTGTGAGTATCTTTCCATGTCAAATAACACTTCAACAATATTTTTCTCATTAAAAATGTTATATATATGGCTTTTATGATTACAGAAATAATTGTAAGATTCTATGCTCATTGTAAAAATATTTAAATTTCAAACCGTACAGAACTGTCCAGTAGAGGAAGGAAATGTTTTACTTAATCCCACCCTTGGGGCCTAAGCCGTGTTGCTATGTTTCATGTTTCCTCTTCATATTTTTTCCATGTAAAGGCTAGACATAATGAACATGTGTGTCTATCTACATTTTTTTCTCCTCCTCAAAGTGGGTTCACAGACTGTTGTGCAGTTTGCTTTTTTTCTTCCTCTGGCGTGGACATCTTTTCGTCTCAGTCTCTGAGGTTCTAAGGCATCTTTGTTCCAATCCTGGGGAAAGGAAACCCTTGTGAGGCTGGAGAAGGGACAGGCTAGTGAGTAATAGCAATACAGGGCTGGTCCCAGTGTTGAAATAAAAACCCTCTGAGGCGAGGAGACTGCGGCTCAGGCAGCCACTTGCGGTTCAGCTGGAGGAAACAGGTAAGGGGGCCACCTCACCTCTACCCAGGGCGTCTAACAGGAGGGGTCCTGAGGCCCCTGACAGGCCTGTGACTTCACGAACGCTCCGTGCCCCCACAGGTGTGTATGTTCTCACGACCGCCCTGATCCCCGTCTTGGAGAAAGAAGACGACCCCAGAGTGGTGAGTTGACTCTGGGGATGTCTTGTAAGTCAGCAGCTCTGTTCCGGATGGGAAATCAGTGGTCCTACATTTGCGGCCCCAACTGTTCTGAGTTGGGGGCATGCTCTTCGTGTCCACAGTGAGGCCAAATTCGGTCCCCGGGGTCCAGAGGCCTTGAGGTTTGATAACCTGAGATCTGGCAGTGGTGCACTGGCCCAGGCAGCGTCCAGGTGGGTCTAGGGAGTTGCTGATCAAGTAGACAGGGGTCCAGGCCTAGGTGAGGGTCGGCCTGGGGCTTTGTCCCGTGGACATACGTACTTGCGGAGCTCTGGAGGCATGGCCTGGGCTTCCAGGATGCTCCTTCTGGCAGTAGAGGCTTCCTGGGAGCCGGCTGGCAACCCCGCCTCCTCTTGCTCTCAGGGGCTCCTCCACATCCCCTGCTCCTGCCTCTCATCCTGGTTGGGTGGTCGCACACAGAGCCCATGAAAAGGGAGGCAGAGCCATGCAAAGGGCCACGTTCAAGACCCCAGCCCTCACTGAAGTCTCTTCCCCAAAGTCACCGAGAGTTGTCAAAGCACTGGGAAAGGGGGGGAGATGGGAGAGGCAGGCAGGGGTGGGTGGGTGTACTTCCTGGAGATCCCACCCCTCAAGCGGGGACAGGGAGGGGACAGCTATGGAGTTAACGGCTCATGGGTTAACGTGACAGAAATGAGAGAAGTCAGGAAGAGGGCAGTCCATGCAGGCTGCCTTCTCTCTGCTTTGGGAGGGTGGGGGGCGAATAATGACCTCCCCAGACCCCAGAGGCCCAGGTCCCAGTTCCTCGGACTGTGTCACCTTGACCTGGCAGAAGGGACTCTGCAGATGTGATTAAGTGAAGGATCCTGAGATGGGGGTGGGTTTTGTGGATTATCCAGGTGGGCCAGTGCAGCCCCAGGGGTCCTCAGAAGAGGGCCCGAGTCAGAGGAGACGTGAGGAGGGAAGCAGAGGGTGGTATGGCCACAAACCGAGGCCTGCGAGTGGCCTCCGGAAGCCGGAGAAGCCAAGGAATGAATTCCCCCCTCAAACTGCCAGAAGGTCTCTGCTGGCACTTCGATTTTAGCCCCACAAGACACATTTCAGACCTCTGGCTTCCAGAGCTGGGGGGGATTCACCTGCACTTTTGTAAGCCTCTTAGTTTGTGGTCATTTGTCGCAAGAGCAATAAGAAATAGATACACGGAGAAGAGGGATGGGCAGGTATTACAAACTTTTCTTCACAAATCTCTGTTTACTGCAGATAACAGTGTCCTCTGGAGGAATGCTGGTTCAGAAACTGAACATCGATGACCTGCAGTCAGAAAGGACAGCGTTCGACGGCACCATGGTTTATGCGCAGAACAAAGTAAGTGAGGGGCTGTTCTCAACACGGTCACCTGGGCTCTTTGTCATGGAAGGCTTACTCTGGGATACACATTAGCTTGGATCTGTTTCCCAGAGCACCTGAATGTCCCTCACAGGAGAGAAAATCATCTTCTCCATCAGAAGCCCAGCTCAGCTCTGCCTGAACCGGGCTGGGGGTGCGGGTCTTCAGCTCACCCTGAGGAGGAGCCACAAAAGCTGCCACCTCTCTTCCCGAATTTCTCAGACCCACAAAGAGGGTGGTGAGAGCAGGTGATTCCCCACAGCAGGACTCAGCAGAGGTTCCTTGTCCTGCATGGCTCAGAGGGGAAAGGGACCCAGGGGGTCCCCTTTCTCTCCCTGGGCAGCCCCTGCTTACTGGCTGGACAGATGCCACCAGAACCGTGCTGGGTTTCCGGCTCCCTTTGTGGGGTGTGCACTGAGTCGCTTCCGTCGTGTCTGACTCTTTGCGACCCCATGGACTGTAGCCCACCAGGCTCCTCTGTCCATGGGATTCTCCAGGCAAGAATACTGGGGTGGGTTATCATGCCCTCTTCCAGCGGATCTTCCCGGCCCAGGAATCGAACCTGTGTCTCTCATGTCTCCTGCACTGGCAGGCGGGTTCTCTACCACTAGCACCACCTGGGAAGCTCCAGTGAGGGGGATGCACATCCAGTTCTGAAGATGTGAAAGCTCAGAGGTCTGGTCTCATGCCCACTTGGAACAGAAAGTTCTGTCTCAGCTTCTCACAGCTGTTCTAGGAGCTGACTGTATACCGGCCACATTCACGGCTCCTGCCCTTCAGTTCACCTGCTGGGGGCTCCCTGGTGGTTTGTGAAGCTGCCCTCGCCCACAGCTTTCCCTCTTGTTGGAGGGGAGTCCTGTCACCCCCGCCCCCACTCCTGCACTTTCGCTCACCAACCCCCAGACCAGCTCCTGGTGGGTGACTTGTCATGACTCAGCATCCCACCAGTCAGAGGTATCAGACTTCTTTACGGATTTTCCAGGGAACCTGGGAACAAACCACTCACTCCATAAATGGGGCCCAGGTGGAGCTCTTTGTAAAATGTAATCGAACTGCCCTGGGAGCGGGGCAGTGGCCTCCACACAGCTGAGGCTTACGTGGGGGTGCTTGACAATTTTTAAAGAAATTTGCAACAGATGCATTCTCTAAGCATCCCGGGACAGTTCCCACACTCCAAGGTTTCTTCACGTGTCCACGGACACCCACTCAGTGCCTGCCTGTGCGGGGGGCCGGGGGCGCTCTGTGCTCCCACCGCGCTCACATCCAGCAGCAAATACGGTAACAACGAGCAACTAGGAGAGAGGGCGCTGTGGGTGTACTTTTTGGGGGAGGGAGGGGGGTATCCCCCAGGCTGCGGGCAGCCTCATTCCTGCTGCTGGTCTGTCTGCTTCTCAGATGGCGGGGCCAGGACAGAGCCCTGGGTCACAGCCAGAGCTCGCTGGGTGAAGAGCCGATGATTCTAGAGGAAGGTGCGATCTGACCTTGTGGAGGGCGGGGGACAGGGGCTCTGCACACCCGCGGTCCCCCTGCTTCCCCCTCCCATCTGTTCACCCTCACCCCATTCCAGAGGCAGCAGGTGGTTCTGACAGAGCAGTGGGCCCGAGCGCACCCGGCCATCCACTTCTCATGCATGCATCCCGGCTGGGTCGACACCCCAGGTAGGTCTTTAAGTTCCCTGCTGCCCATGTTTCATCTAAAAATATCTGGGCGGCCGCAGGACGGAATCTCCCCAGGAATGACCTAGAACCGGTATCAGGAGGATGAGGGATGGCTTTGATTCCACGGGAGCCAGGCAGGCTGGGACTGGAGAGGGAGAAGCCTGGTCCTCAGAGGCAGGCAGAGCTGGCGTGGTCAGTGCCCCAAGTGCGTGTGGCCCAGGGAGTGGGTGGCGCCCGGGTAGGGGTATGGCTGGGGACCCCTCCCTCGGGACAGAGGGCGCTTGGTCCACACCCAGTGTTACGGGAGATGCTGGGGACGTGGGGATAGGCCAGGCCACCTCTGCACTGCTTGGGTTTCTAGAAATAGTGACTGCACAAGGGGACGTAACAGTCACTTAAGGGGACAGGTGGAATTCTCTGGAAGTGTGGGAAAAGGGGGAAGGAGAACAGAACTCTCTGCGGGGTCAGCCCCTCTCACCTCTGAGAGCTCGGGCACATCACTTGGGCTCTGTAGCTCTTTCCTCCTCCCCCAACAAGGGAACTGAAACCGGCAGCCGTGGCAGCACACCTGGGACACTTGAGGGCCCAGCGCTGCTCCCAGTGCTGTCTCTATACCATCGGCTGTGCCCTCACCGCCCTCCTGGGGTGGGCACCACTGTCACGTCCATTTACAACTGGGGAAACTGAGGCACACAGAGGGGCCGGGACGTCCTGGCTGGGCCCAGCCATAGTCTAGTGAGAGGCAGGCTCTCATATGCTTGCTGTCACCTTTCAAGAGCTGGTTTAGCAGAGGCCTTAATATCTGCATCTACATCCTTGGAATTCATCCTAAGAGATGCGGAAAATGAGGTTGCTCGTCCCAGCACTGGTGCTTGGAGAGTGAGTTGATAAATTAGGGAACACCTGCACGGGAAATCTGTTCAGCCCTGAACACTGCTGCGGATAAATGTCTATGGGAAGCAAACGGCACTATCTCATTAAACTCTAGTATCGGGGCCCTCAGACCTTACAGCCTTCTGGTCTTATTTTCGCTACGCCCACATCCCCATGAAGGGGGTGTGTCGTGCTCCGTTGCATCCCACGGAGACCAGGCAGGAAGAGGTGTAGCAGGCCAGCCTGCCAGGTTGGGGGGGGTGGTGGTGGGGGTGGATCTGAGGACATCTGGCAGCCTCCTGTTGTAAATGCAAAGGGGGGGTGTCCTCCACTGAGCACCCCAGGAGGCACTCAGGCCAGGGCTGTCGAGAGAGGGCGGCTTCTTATTTCATGTCACTTCCTGGTGGGAGATGTGCCCAGCCCTGCCTGACCAGGTAGCTCCATCAGCCAGTGGAGAACCACTAGCCTCTTCTCCCTGCAGGACATCACCCTGACAGTCCTCACGTCAACCTGTGCGCTGGCCAAGTCTGCGCTCTGAGCTCACCACCTGAGTCCAGCATCTGGGTCAGGGTGCGGTCAGCTGTCTGTGGTCCACAGGTCACAGGGCGAAGACTGGGCTTCTCAGAGGCCGCTGACTGGGCCTCAGTGTCCAGAGGGAGGGCTGGGGAAGGGCCTGAGCCCACAGACACTTGTCCTTCCCAAGTGGTATGATGTGTGTGTGCACGCTAAGTTGCTTTACTCGTGTCCAACTCCTTTTGGCCCCATGGACTATAGCCCGCCAGGTTCCTCTGTCCATGCGATTCTCCAGGCAAGAATGCTGGAGTGGGTAGTCATTCCTTCCTCCAGGGGGTCTTCCCGACCCAGGGATTGAACCCACGTCTCTTACGTCTCCTGCATTGGCAGGTGGGTTCTTTACCACTAGCGCCAGCTGGGAAGCCCAATGGAGGACTCAAATTCTTCTGTTAACTCATCAGAAGTATTCCCTAATTTTCCCACGATAAGCAAGTACTGTTTCTGTAAAGGGAAAAAGAAAAAAACGTTTATTTTTTAGTTTTGTTTTAGATGATCCTTTCTTTGAAATCCTCTGATCTCATTACATCTCTCAAATGTTGTTTTCTCTGCTTTCTTTGGCTTCATGAGAGAACAGTTGTGTTTCCCAGAGTGCTAACTGTAAAGACTGTGTGTTCCCCGAGGTCTGTGGGCAAATGGGGGTGTGTGTGTGGTGGGGGTTACAGCCTGCAGCCAGTGCTGGGGAGGACGAGGGAGAGGGAGGAAAGAGTCCCTTCCCTTGTTCCAACACGCCTCAGTGAAAAAGCAGAGAACACTCTCGCAGCCCGAAGGACACTCAGCCTGGATCCTGGGAGAGGTCAGAAGCCTTGAGAGAGAGAGAGAGAGAGAGAGAGAGATGGGTCCCCCAGGAGGGGTGTTGGGGGGGGGGTCTGATCCCCTTTTGGCCTCAGGTGTGACTCTCATTTCTTGGGATGGGAATCAGGGAGGTCCAGGGGATTTTGCTCCTGGGGGACAGGCCTGTCTGGGCAACAGCCTGCAGGAGCGCTGTTTTGAAGTGGAAAGAGGGCAGTTGGTGATCTCATTCCATCTCCGCGTGGTTATTTTGGTATTAAAGCGGCCAGCTCAGTTGAAGCTGAGGGCGCTGTCCTCACCGCCCTGTCTGTGTGCCCCCCCTGCAGGCGTGCGGCTGTCGATGCCCGGCTTCCACGCCAGGCTGGGGGCCAGGCTGCGCTCCGAGGCCCAGGGCGCTGACACCGTGCTGTGGCTGGCCCTCGCCCCCGCTGCCACCGCCCAGCCCAGCGGCTGCTTCTTCCAAGGTGACTTTCTCTCTAAACCACAGCCCGAGGATCTCTGGAGGTGGACCCTCCTCTCTCCGTGAAGTCGGGTGGGGAGGGGCTGTCCCCCTTCCCGGTGATGTGCTGATCTGCCATGGGGGGACGGTTATTTGGGGAAGGGCCTCACCTCTGGCTCCGTACTCCCGGCTTTTTGCATCCACCTTCCCGAACATGGTGGGTCCCATGAGGGTGCAGTCAGTCTTGGGGTTGTGACCCCCGACCTCAGTGTCTTGGGCATGGCTGGGCCCGCGGGGCACCTCGGAGATTGGAAGCTCCTTTGCGGGAGCACAGGGCCTGGGAGTGAATCTCTGCTTTTCTGTTGCTGGGGGGCGGCTATCTGTTCAGCGTTTGCTCCCTACCCGGGGCGGGATCCCAACAGGCAGGCCAGAGAGAGGGGGCAGGCTGAGGAAAGAGGGTGGAGGCTCTCGCCCACCTCGGAGGTGGCCACGCTTGTGTGAGCCGGGACGGAGCTCTGGTGACCCTGTGGCGGCCAGGAGGGTGGCCGCACCTGCTCCTCTCACTGTCACCTGCCAGACCAAATACTCCACACTCCCGGGCCCCGACCCCCAGCAGCCGGCACCCAGGCCTGGGGACCTGCCCCGCAGCCAGCCCCCTGGAGTCCTGCCGACACTGTCGGCGCCCAGCCTGCCGCCTGGCTTCCCGCCTCAGCCTCCCTTCCGCAGCACCTCATTGTCCGTGCGGACCCTGAGCGCAGGGCCGGCTGACCCCATTCCCGTGTGGGCCCCCCGGCAGGTGGCAGTGAAACGACGGACCCGAGGCCTGGCCCTGCCGCTCACGACTTCGTTTTTCCCTCTCACGTCTATAGACCGGAAACCGGCGCCCACACACTTGCCTCTTGCGAGGACGTCGTCCTCACCGGCCGAAGAGGAGAAACTCGTTGGGATCTTGGAAGAGCTGGCTCGGAGATTTAAATAGCCCAGGCTAGACCCAACACGGGGCCGGAATCACCTCAGAAAATGCGGCAAGGTGCGGACCAGTGGCCAGCGGGGAGACACCACTGCTCCTTCCCCGCCTAGCCCGGCCCATCTTCCACGGCTGTTTCCTCTCCGTCAGGAGTCAGAGAAATTAGTCCCGTTCTTCATGTACAAAGCCTAGTACTGAGAGCTGGACTCACCACCGCCTCATGGGACTGCAGCTGGGTTAACTTACCCTCTGGGGGCCTCGTTTTCCCTGTCAGCGGAGATTTGAGTGCTCCCTACCTCACGGGGTGGTTGTAACGATTCAGCGAGTTACCACTTGTAACGTTCTTAGCAGAAAGCCCAGTGCTTTCTGGTCATTAAGCCTCGATATGTGTTAGATACTAACATCAGCACTTAGCTGACAAGTGCGCTAAACTTCATGGAAGAAAAAAAAAAAACAAAAACCCTAAAGGTTACCCCCTGTAGCAATGAGGAGCCCAGAATGGAAACTTTTATTTTAAAATACATACGATTGCGGCTGAGAGCCAGCGAACCTTCATCTTCTGCAGTAGCTTCTTCTGTGTAATCTCTCCTTGATTTGTGAGTGTGGTTTTTTAAAGATTCTGTGTCACTGTCAGTATGAGGGGAGCAGGGCCGAGAGGGGGAAGGACGGGGTGCTACACTGCCCTGGCCTGGCCCTGAGGCTTCAGGGGCAAGGCGGGACCAAGGGTCAGTGCTTATTTACAAGCACTCACTGGAGGCCTGGTTTACAGGTGCCAAGATTAGAAGCGGCTTCAGTTATGCACTTGGCAACCTGGTGCTGCCGTTTGGTAAAACTTTTAAATTATTTGCATTTTATGTCTTAGTGAAACCAGGGAGAGCTCTAACACAATTGGTGGACAGATTTAGGAAAGCTCTGCATACACTCTGGAAGTTCAAGGGGAAATGAATGTAACTCGGCACCAACGGGGGAGGAGGACCCGGGGAGGGGCGGGCACAGCTCGGCCAGTCCCACCTTACCGGGCCTCAGAGATGCCTGAGGTGCTCAGACCGGGCCCTTAGCCAGGGAGCTCCAAGAAAGGGGCTTTTTGGTGGGTCGGTCTGGAAGGGCGGTGAGCACCGCTTCACCAGCCTGCATCTCTCCCTTCCTGGACAGCAGGGGGCGCTGGAGTGTTGGGTGTGGATGGGGCTGTGCTTTGACAGGCAGGCTGGAGGAGGGGGCAATTCAGCTGCCCCACCCACTGGCCCTTCCCAGGAGGCGCTAGTGGTAAAGAACCCATCTGCCAAGGCAGATCTAAGAGAGGAGGGTTCCGTCCCTGGGTAGGGAAGATCCCCGGGAGGAGGGCATGGCAATCCTCTCCAGTATTCTTGCCTGGAGAATCCCATGGACAGAGAAGCCTGGTGGGCTACAGTCCATGGGGGTCGCAGAGAGTCGGACACCACTGAAGCGACCTAGCTTCATTGATTGCTTACCACTTTTAATCCATAAATAGGCCTCATGCTTTTTTTTTTTTTTCTTGGTCAGTGGGGGCAGGCTGTGCCACATGGCCTGTGGGATCTGTTCCCAGACCAGGGATCGAACCTGCACCCCCTGCATTGGAAACTCAGTGTCTTAACCGTTGGACCACCAGGGAAGTCCTGGGTCTCATGAGTTTTTATAGAGGCTTTTCCTGGCTATATTTTTCCTGAGTCCTCTCTCACTTTATTTGCAAAGCTTATCAATCACACTTAAAGCAGCCTTATGTGGGCTTCCCTCATTATTCAGATGGTAAAGAACCTGCCTGCAATGCAGGAGACCAGGGTTCAATCCCTGGGTTGGGACGATCCCCTGGAGAAGGAAATGGCAACCCACTCCAGTATTCTTGCCTGGAGAATCCCATTGACAGAGGAGCCTGGTGGGCTACAGTCCAAGGATTTGCAAAGAATTGGACACAACTGAGTGACTTTCACTTTTTTTTCACTATGTGAAAGATAAAACAAAAAGGACCACTCAGCCAGCCCTGGTGAACACTGACGCAGGGCTGCAGGGGTGCACGTGGTTACAGGGCACAACTCGACAACAATAACACGACCACAGGAAGGTTTCCACAGATATTTATTTTAAACTGTGGCGGTAGCTTGCATTGGGTCTTGACACAGGTCATGGCTACACACACATTTCGGTTAGAGGGAAGCACAGAGGGAAAGTGAGCAGAGTTCAGGAACATTCACAACATTCAGCAGACATTTAACATTGTGGGAAATCCTGGCTCATTCCCACCTAGTCACATTCAGGAAGTCAGTGTCAAGACTGCTTGGTCTGGTTGGTGGGATCTGGTGGTAGAGGGCGTGGCGACACCAACGGGGTTCAGCTAGAACCACGTTTGAGAAACCTCTTCCAGCTTTGGGCTTATGACATTCTCAGCCTGACCCCTTGGAGAATCTCATTTCATAAAGAAAGAAAAGAAAGACATTTTGTAAAGCAACATGCCGTGGCAGCCAGGTTCCGACTGGGCTGCAGAGTGATGGGCATGCAGGATGGAAGCGTCCTTGTCCCTGGTTATGGAGTCAGTGGGAGGCAGGCACGAATGTGGGGCTAGCACCTTCCCGGTTGTCCAGTTAGTAAGTTTTTGTACTTTTCATATATTTTCTTCTGCAAAATGACAGTACATTGAAAAAAAAAAGGCAGATGGCGTAAAACACAAATATGTAAGTGTACATCGGTTACCAGCGACACAAGTATTTTGGTCCATACTTCACATGCTACTAACATAAGGCAGCCATCCATTTAAATGAAGGGAAGAGTGCTTTTAAGAGAACGACTTCTTTCAAACCATTTCCCATTTTTGTGTTACAGTTTACTCTCTCATGCTTCCCAGAGAACCAAGACCGGGGGTGGGGGTAGGGGAGGAGAAAGGATCCTAAATATCAAGGTCGCATTCCAAATCTAACCTTTAAGCCAACCTGCAATTATTCCCTTTCTCTCACAAGAAAGTCAGATACACTTGGATCCACAGAAGTGAACATTCTGAGGTATTTGTTTTTAATGAGATGGTACCATGATTGACCTCTGCCTTCTCCAACTTTTTTCAAACCTCCTGGGCTCTAGTTGGGAAAATACAGGCAGCCGTTTACTTGATGTGACACCAGACAAAGGCAGTGGGACACACTCCCATTTACCTGAGTTAAGTCAGCCATGAGCAGGCAGGTCACTGGTAATGGTCGGATTAGTCCAATGAGAAACAACAGTCATAGAATCATAGCATCACAGATTGGAAGGGATCTTAAGCATGATCATCGAATTCAACTTTTACTCAAGGCTTTTAATCTCCTTTCCACATCTTTTCCACTATAAACAGACAAGGGTCTATGGACTTGCTGTTCAAAAATTCCCTGGCATAAGACATACAATGGAGGAATCCCCTTCCAGTGCAGGACAGATCTAATTTTACACCCTGCTTTCTTGTGTTAGGCCCAGACAGGCTTCTCCGTGGAAGGGATAAATTTGAAAGGCAAAATTACAAACTAAAAACCTAAGGGTTGGTGTGTATCTAGTTCTTGATGGTGAAGTTGAGTTCAAGTTTAAAAACAAATGTGGATGTTCCTGAATTAAGTTACAGACATACGATACTCAGGCACTGGAGGAAAAAGGCCAGTGGGTGCAGTACAAGTACCAGGAAGGACCGAGGCCCACCATGGGATGGGGGGTGGGGGGGCCCGGGCTCTGTACAGCTGGGTCTACTGAGCCCTTTTACAGTCACTGAATTGAGAAAAATGTTCCCTTCCCTTGGCGAGTGCCCCTGCCATGAGCATTTATCACATTTACCACACTGTACTGAGATGACCCACTGCTGCAGGAGCGATGTAAGGCCAGAGGGAAATGAGGACAGCAGTGGTCTGCTTGCTCATGGAGAGATCACGTGCGTGCACGGCCTCTGCTGTCCAGAAAGGCCTCCTCCACAGGTCAAGGGCTGTCCTTTTTCAAAGGAGAGCAGCCGAACCTGCCCCCACCACCGCCCCCGCCCCAGGAAATAATGGGATTAGTATGTTGTAAGCTCATCTAGGGACTTCCCAGGTGGCACAGTAATAAAGAATCTGCGGACAATGGAGGAGATGTAAGAGATTTGGGGTCGATCCCTGGGTGAGGAAGAAGCCCTGCAGAAGGGAGTAGCAACTCACTCTGATATTCTTGCCTGGAGAATCCCACGGACAGAGGAGGTTGGCAGGCTACAATCCATGGGGTCACAAAGAGTGGGACATGACTTAGTGACTGAGCTCACAACAAGCTCGCCCAGACCAAAACCAGGCAAGCAGTGGGTCTCCAGCCCCACCTCATGGCCTCCAGTAGGTGGCTGTGCCCCAAAATAAAGTTCAAAAAGTAGTTAACCAGGGGTCCTTTTTAAGATAATTCCAGGTGTTTCCAAAGAAAAAGAAACTTTGATACTGGCCGCAGCTGCAGGAAGACTGGACTTGTCTGGCAAGCCTCTGGGTAAAGGTGCTTGGTGAACTGTGGGCTGCCTCCCTCCCCCTGCAGCCATGAGCATCTTGTCTGATAGAGATGAGAGGACTGCAGGCTCTAGGACTGCAGCTGCGCACGCACTACTCTGGAGCTCCAAACCTTGGGTGGGACCCCAGTGCCAGGCTGGTGCAGGTCTTGGGCCTTTGCTGGCACTGCTTCCACAGCCTGGAAACTCAGCCTTCCTCAAATCATTCCGACTCTTCATTTAACTCTCAGCTCTGAAGTCCTTTCCTCTGTGTTCCCCCCTTTCCTGTGGGTGCAAGAGTACCTGTGTAGCTCCTGGGATGGGACCCCACACCCTCTGTCACCAGAGTCACCGTATGGCACAGAAATGAGCCACAGCAAGGACATGAAATCAGTCAATCCTAAAGGAAATCAGTCCTGAATATTCATTGGAAGGACTGATGTTGAAGCTGAAGCTCTAATACTTTGGCCACCTGACGCAAAGTGCCAACTCATTGGAAAAGACCCTGATGTTGGGAAAGATTGAGGCAGGAGGAGAAGGGGGCGACAGAGAATGAGATGGTTGGATGGCATCACCGACTCGAAGAACATGAGTTTGAGCAAACTCCAGGAGTTGGTGATGGACAGGGAAGCCTGGCATGCTGCAGTCCATGGGGTCACAAAGAGTCGGACATGACTGAGTGACTGAACACCAACTTATCTGTGTGGCCTCTGCCCAAACCACAGAATGGACCTCTTGACCCCAGGCCTGGTTCAAAGCCTGGTATGTGGTGGACACTCAGGAAAGGGCTGGACTATGAAAGTTAAGAGCCTCAACAGTCATCTAGATCCCTCGATGCTCAGGATGGACTTAATCTCTGTGTTTTCCCATCATGTTGATAGACAGCCACCCTCACATCCAGAAAAATGCAACTTAACTTGTTCCAGAGGAGAGAGAAAATGCCAAAAAGCATTGGCAAAATGTTTTCTTTCATTTTAAAACAGAAATCTTAGTGGACAAGGTCACTTACAATTATACTACTATGAAAAGGCAAAACCAAAGGGATCTCGTTTAATGGATATTTATGTCTGGTAACTTTGATACACAGTTCAGACTAAATCCCTTGCTTACAAGGTAAAATTCAGGTTTTAAAATTTGAGTAATGTCAAGCAAAAATAAATTAGGCTTTTGAAAAAAAATGAGTATCAAAAATAGGAAAAGGCGATATTTCACAGGAAGGGCAATGAGGAGGCTCGCCTGGGGCCCACCTGCACACAGAGGGTAAGGTGCAGATTCAGTGCCCCTTGATTTCCACTTACACTGCGTGGCTGGAAAGGTCGGTGGGGGCGGGCACAGGAAGCTGGTTAGGCTGATGGAGGCCTGCAGCGACCACCTCATTGCAGGAACCCACCCACTCAGAGCCAGGGGAGGTATGAGATTTGCCTGCGATGAGAGGACCAGACCCAGTTCTGACGGCTCCCTGCCTTGAGCCTCAAACTCATTCCTCCCACGCACGCCATTATGGGTTCATGTTCAAAAACAACTGTTCTTCCAAAGTTCTTATAGATTCCCCTTGCCGATACCTCAACTATATCTCACTGCTTCGTGTGACTGTGCTTGGAACATTCTAGAGGTCTGAAGAGTCCCTTCCAGTTCTGTGATTTTACGATTCTTTGCATAACATTCAAACAATCCAGTGAGAAACACACCATGGTTGACCGATCTCATAAAAAAAAAAAAAGACACATGACTCCAAGTACTTCATCTAAAACCACTTGTGGTGCTGCGGAGACAACCCAGGCAGCTAAAGGGTCCAGGAACATCATTTCTCTGGAGAAACGGAGCGTGGGATTGGTTCTGTCCTACCAAATAAAAGGCACAGGCATGGTATGTGCGAGTGTGCCACTTCCCAGCATTGATCGTGTTAGGCTTGACTTGCCAGAGCTTCTGTATGTTGAAGCAATAGAGCAAAAAGAAAAATTATATATATATAAAGTGCAATTCCAGTGGGGTAAAACAAGAGTGATGAGAGTTAACCCAGACAGGAGACAAGCCAAGTGCTGGCGCCAGCTTTTGCTCCTAATGAATGAAGCCTCTATTCCATAAAATGCTTGGAAGGCACCCCAACACCAACACATATCGATGAGTTACACAAATGGTGGTGCGAATGTAATACTCAGGGATTCACAGTATTATAAACACACACAGTTGGCATGCTAAGTGCTTCTCACCAAACTAAAGCACCTACACAGATGAGAAATAAAAGAGCAGCGCAATGGGTACCTTGACATGTCTGTGGTCACTGGTCGCGACTGTCACAACCAGGAGGTGTGTCCCGGGGGTTCCACCTCTGAGTGGCTCTGTGAGCTAGGGGTACAGCCATGCTGGGAGGAGGCGGGGGGCCTGAAGTGAGGGGTCACAGACCAGAGCGATCACGGGCTCACATGTGACCCAACGGGGACAATCAGCATCCCCAGTGTGATCTGAGCTCATCTAGACCCAACTCAGAACCACATCAGGTCTGCTGGGCACCTGACCCACCGCCTCCCGACACTGTGTTTGCCTCTCTGTATTCAGGCCATGCTCCAAAGGAAGTGAGAAGAGAGCCATTCATTTCCACTACTCACGTCTACCAAGTCATTCTTTATTACGGACAACTCTGTAAGTGGCTCCAGGTTCTAGTAGTAAACTACAAAACAGATATTTGAATATTTTAATTCCCTTTTTAAAGCTCTCTCACAACCATGCAGAAGAGACTCAGGTTAGTTATAATGGCTTCGCTGATGGCCAGCAAGGGTAGGGTGGAAGGGGCAGTTGAGTGGCAAGTGGTAACTGCTTCTGCACGTTGGTGTGTCTGTGTCCACAGCCTCAGAGTACGGTCACGTGGGCTGATCTGCCCTGATGTCCCAGGTCATGGCTGTCATGTACCATGGCTGCACGGGGCATGCCTACTGTCCTGTGTCCCAAAGCTGCAGCAGCAGAACTGTCCCGAGGAGGTCTGTCACCAGGAAGCACAGCTGGTCAGTGTTGGGGTGGCAGGGGGCAGGGGGTGGGTTATCCAAGTCTGGCTGGGAGTCCTTCTCCCAGTTAGAAAAGTAATCAATGATCGTGAGGGGAGAAACGACGGCCACCCTCAATTGTCAAGTCAGCAGAGAACAAGACCCTGCAGAGGTAGGGCTCACATAGGGAAGGGCAAGTCATTGGCCTGTGATCTGCAAGGCTCTGTGTAACCGTGTGAACCCCAAAGACTCAGGGGTCCCCTGATGCTCCTGACGGGTGAGGGATGAATGAGGTGGTCCCGGTAAAGTGCTGAGAAGGAGGCAGGCACAGAACACATGCCTGCTGCTCATTTAAATCCTCCTTTTACAGGTTGAAAGTAAGTATCCCAAATGGGTCTCTACACACAAGAATATCTCAACTTATCAAGATGATTGGATTCCCTTAAAATCAGGCTTCCTCAGGTTCATTTCCTAAAGCCTCCCCTCCCCATCTTTTCTGTACATTCCCAACTGGAACACACAGCATGAGCTGTAGGACTGAGTACCTTTTATGTCTCAGATCACGCGGTTGGAGTATTAAAGTGTGCAAAGTGTTCTGATAAAATACACGAAGATAAAAATCTTTAAATATCTGGTTTTGAAAGGGGAAGCAAATACAGACAGTGAGGAATAAAGCAGCATACAACCTCACAGCAATGAGCATGTTCAAGTTCAGAGGTGACATCACACAGAACCACAGATCTTAAAGAAACTATTCTTGAAGGACACAGGGTTTTGTTGTTTCCTTTTGCTTGTTTTTAATATCAAGAGCGAAGGAGAACTTTGTCAATAAAACTAAAACCCAAAAGGCTCAGAAAGCTCCCACTGAATTAGAAAGGATCCAGGCACTGAGAGTTGAAGGTCTGAGTTTGATAATCTACTTCCGTGGCTGGGAGTGGCTTTCTCACAGCAATTTTTTTTTTTCTTTTTTTAATGTAGGAAAGAGAAAAACTGAGGCAGAAACATAAGGTCATTTCCACTCTTGTAAGATCTAGACATTACAAATGGATCATCCTTCGGGCAATTTAAGAAATCAGCTGGGAAAACCACAAGGATGGTTTTCCAGATCTCTCAATGGAGGGGGACTCCTATGAAAGCAGACACACTGCAAATAAATTGTGAATGTGTTCACTCCGGGGAACAGTGGAAGAAGCTGAGTAGGGAGAAGATGCAGGCCACAGGGTACGTGCCCAAAGAAGAGGAACACGGAAACTACTTCACAACGACCCCAAATACCCTGAACAGTTATACACTCCTCATTTCTCCGACACACAAAGAAACAGCTAAAACCAAGTGTTGACAAATATAAAACTTAAAACACCCCACGCTGAGTTTTCCGTATACTCAAAACAAGGGAGCAGAGCCAGACTGTATAAACCATTTGTTAAAAAAATATCCTCTTTTTATATTGTATGAACAAGTTGAAAGAGTTCCCTCACAAGAGCTCAGACCGCTCACCACCATGTGTGCAGGCGACACGCAAGCTCAGCTCAGCTTTTCAGCTTCTCTCCCGCCACTCGCACATCTGCTCTACCGCTGCAGTCATGATTTGGGTTAGAACAACCGTTTCTTGAGTAAATTCTGTCTTTCTGGCGCCTGGAAGGGGCATCAAGACACGACTGGGGTCATATCCCACAACTGTAAAAAGAAAAAGATCTCTGATGAACACCTGGAGGAGGAAACGGCAACCCACTTCCACTGTTCTTGCCTGGAAAAGCCCACGCACAGAGGAGCCTGGTGGGCTACGGTCCATGGGGTAGTTGCAAAGAGTGGGACACTCCTGAGCAACTGAGCACTGATGAACTACCATTCAGCTGGGTTGAAGAGCCATATCATGTGAATAAGGAGTCACTGTAATTGAATTCAAGTGCATTTTTTAACTTAATAAGGAACTGAGTACTATATGAGCATCATGGATATATCTACACAGTAGTAAACTTGTCCATCAAAAAGTTCAACATAACCCTCAAAAAAAGGACAAAGGCAGCGGGAAGTTTTAATCCAGCTGATGGAGAATAAAGGCAGATGAGATTCATTCAAGGAAGAAGGGAAGTAACACTATAAGGCAACACATGGGTAGCCAGATGTGCTGCGTCCTTTCTGTATCTCATCTCATCCTCCAAACAGTTCTACGAGATGTCCCAATTTCAAAAATAAAGGAACCCAGATGCCCAGAATTTACTTTAAAAAGCCACATAGGACTGGTGGCTTCCAAGGAGGGTTATTCTAACCACCTTATCCTGCGGCTGCCTCCACGAAGGAACAGAAGAGGCCCAGGAAGCCGGGCTCAGTGAACCAGGTGAGCCTCTGCCACGGGGAGCCTCAGAAATGACGTGGGCATGGCCTCTTTAGTCCTGGGCTTTGGCCCGGGCAGTGAATCCAAGGGGCCTAGCACAGTTCTTGGAGAGGCCCTGGAGGACTGCTTCTGGATTAACTGATCTCACTGGGAAAAGATCTTGTTTATTACTTGTTGGCTTATCCAATGCTCGGCTCAAAACCTACTATCCTCACGAAGCCAAGGCCAGTAGCACCATCTTCTGCCCCTGAACTCTCCCAGTAACTCTTGTCCGTTTTACTCTTTTGGCTGCTGAACATGTGACAGTTAATAATAATTAACTGTCTTCTTAAGAGTATGTCCCCAGGAGACTAGCGGTTCCTTTCAGGGGAAGGCCAGGTCTCATTCTGGTGTGTATAGCCAGTGACTGTACGCGGTGTGTAATGGGTTCTCAAAGATGCTCATTGCTCAGGGGAAGCTTTAAGAGAAAGTTTCTGAGCACACCTCACACAGTCTTGATGCTTCTGTACATTTACACAGGGCCAAAGATGGAAATGGACCGCCTCAGTGGTCATGAGTTTGAGCAAGCCCTGGGAGATGGTGAAGGACAGGGAAGCCTGGTGTGCTGCAGTCTACTGGGTCCCAAAGAGTTGGACGCGACTGAGCAACTGAACCACAAAGACAGAAAGCTGCGAAAATATGATGGCGTCCTACCTTAATAACCTTGTCAGTTCCCGAGTCAGTAACCATCCTCTGGTCGCATCAAAGTGCACGTGCACGATGTTATGTTTACTGTCGTGGAAGGTCGCGGTGGGTGCGCGTCTGGAGGGAGCAAAAGGAAGTTTCCAGGAGTGAAAGGCAGAGTATATGAATGAAGATCTAGAGTGACAGTAAGCTCTAATTTTTAGCCAAATGGCTCAAATGACCCTGTTGTTAAGAGATGCTCCTCAGAGCTACTTTTATTTCCTGAGGATGAAAAGAGTGAAAGGATTCTTAGACTGTCCAAAATGGTCAAGAGATGATGAAGTTTCTTTAGAAAGTTTTTGCAGAAATTTGTTACGCTGATTGAGTCTGTGAGATTCTCTACCTGTGCTGTTAACAAATCTTTAAAATAACCCATCATGCTTTTGCTAAGTTTGATCTCAAAAGGACTTGCTGATAAAAGTCTACTTTGGTCTATTTAATTTTTAAAAAGGCACACTTGTTAAAATGCCTAAGACACTATTACTTTCATCTAAGGGCTATTTACTCTTTCCCTTCTTTACCCTGGTATAAATGTAGACTCGGTTTTTTCCGTGGCATTCTAATGCTTTAACAAGTAAAACAATATATAAACAAACACTGTTACTTGCTTTCTATTTTTTCAAGCTGTGCATTTTTTCAGTAAGAAGGCTGGAAACTGCCTAGATGCTCTAGAGGCAATACAAAATGCAGCCACAGGGAAGAGGCAGAAGAACCAGTGATGTGGGACAGAGACATGGGGGATTAGGCTGCGGTTTTCTAATCATGTTTCAAGTTCCCACTCCTCAGCAGTGGGCTCTCTGAAGACAGCTGTTAATTGCTCAATCTGGAGAACAGATCTTCAGTATCCTAAAGATGATGATTGCTTTAAAATATTTAGAATGAAGGAATTAGGTTTAATCTGTAGTCACTTAGACCCTCTGGATATATGTCTTTAATGAAGAATTCAATGGGAATATGCCTAAAGTCTCTTGCAGCTCCCTAATTTAATGAGAAGCACTCTTTTATTAATTTCATCACATATGATGAGCAGAAAATAATCAATGAACATAAATGCTTACTTATGCAAGGGCATCTTAATTTATACTTGCTGTGACTAAATAAGAATAAAAAAACACATACATTAACATGAGGGTTATCTGCAAGAGAATGCTTTATTAACTTGCCAAGAATTTCCTCTAAATGCTGACCTCCTCAAGTGCATCTGAAATATGTTTCTATTTATATGCAGCTTTTAGGACATCCATCTAGCACTTAAAATGGTATTACTACATTATATGGGGCGGGGGTGCAGTGAGAATTGGGTAGACAAGTCCCCTATGAGATTCTAATTCACTCAAAGGGACACTTGGTGAAGAACACTGTTTACATGGAGGGCAGTTTGCAACAGCTAACATTAAAAAGATAACATGGGGTCTTTCCTGGCAATCCAGTGGTTAAAACTCTGAGCATCCAATGGAAGGGGCGAGGGTTCGATACCTGGTTGGGAAACTAATAACCCACATGCTGTGCAGCATGGCCAAGAGAATTTAAAAAATTTTAAAGAAAGAAAAGAAAAAGACAACATGGATCTTCACTCCCCACCGCCCCTCCCCCACAAAAAAAGCACTGTAATCTCAGGTCCTGGGTTATTGGGCAAGACCAACCAGCAAGATTCTGCAGCTGGGCATTGGTGGTACAAGACTCTTAGAAGAAGAGACTTGGCTCTTTCTGGAAAATAAAACCTCTGGAGCCCATGGGCTTATCGCTCCTGCAAAGATACCAGCTCGGGCTAAAAGTGAAGCTTGAAGCTCGGGCTCCTGTACTCCTGGGCAATTCTCCAGTAAATGAGCAGGCAGAGGATTTGCTCCAAGAACATCTATTTTCAATGCACAAACCCCTGGGATTGACAACAGCACAGAGATGATTCCTCAGCGCTGCACTCTCTCCTCTTGCCTCACAAGGGGACACCACCTCCTGGTGGAAAGGAGGGCTTTGCCCACCTGCCACGGTCCATTTTGGAAACCACCAGGAACCAGGGTGCCATCATTCGTGGCTGCGGGGCTCGGCGCAGCGCTCGGATCGCACTCGCCCCTTAACCTTGAAAATTCTGCAGACTGCTAGGACTTACTCCTCATCTGTGATGGCCTCGTGGCAGCTGTCACACACCCTCACTTCAAACTCGAAGCCCATCAGCGGGATCGGGGAGCGCTTGGAGCTGCACTTGCCGCAGACTGCCTTCCCGCACTTGCGGCAGTGGTGCTGGAGGGAAGAGAAAACGTGCTCACTGCGCCTGCCTGCCTCTGCCGCGCCAGGTACGCCCAGGTGTGACCCACAGCCTCCAGGTGCGGAGGGTCAACGGGAGGGCCCCAGCGCATTGGAAGCACGTGCCAGGTGCTCTTCTTTTTGGATTCTGTTTACTCAGAATGAGGACTGTTTAGGAAGTAAATCTGACTGTGCCACGGCCCCGAGCACCCCTTTCCCCAGTCTTGGTCCTTTCCAGTTATCATCAAGGTGAATCAGAGGACCCATCCTGCAGTCGGGTTATCTTAAGGGTGTCGGGTGTACGGAGGAAGTGCCACCTCCAGAGATCACCTGTTCGGTGAAGAACTGGGATGAAATCAGGCTCAATTCACTGTCTACATGTTGGCGGTGCTCAAGCTGGGTGACTGCAGACCAAACTCAACCAGAGAATCAGGCTGAAAATGCTGTCTTATAAGTAGATCTAAGTAACTAAAACTAAGACGGAAGGAACAAAAGTGAAATTAAAGAGAAATAAGTATCACTTACATAATTTCATGGTTTGGTACCATTTGAGCTAAGCTTGGCCTCTCTAATTTTAAGGTATGTTTCACTAGATGCCACTAGAATTCTAAAATCATATCTCTTAACTACTGGGAACAAGTCACTACAGAAGCTACATCCAGTAGGAATGAGCTTCAGTAGAGAAAGGGAATAAATTCGGCACAAAGCAACTCCTAGAGAATAACTTACCCCCATCACAGCTCCCACCCAGGGATGCTATTTCTTCCAAGATCACAAAGTAAAGTTATTTCTAGGTGATAACATTTTGATGAAGCAAGCATATCACCCACCTGTCTCAGGCCAATTTTCTTACTGTCCCACATTTGCTTGAAGTTCCAGAAAAAAGGCTGATCGCACTTTTGGCAGGAATCACTGTCCAACCATTCAGGGGTCTTGCCAAATAAAGCACACAACAGGTGACAGTGAGAAGCAGTGAGGATCGTGGAAGCAGCGACAACGCTGAAACTTACGCGGTCAAGATGTGTCTCTAAGAAACACATGTGATTTCTCAATCATTTAAAAACTATTTACTGAATGCCTCGTGATGGGTCAGGTCCTGGGGATGCAGTGGGGAAGAAAAAGAATTTAACGCCATGGAGCTCATAATATGAGGGAAGATGAAACATGACAATCATATTAGCAGCAGTTATTATTTGAAACAGCAGATCAAAGGCCAGAGAAAGGGAAGCAGAGAGAGCTATGAGAACAGGATGGTCCAGGGTGGGGTTCAGGATTTATCTCTGACAAGTGACAACAAGCTGAGATCTGGGGATGGTTGACAGGCCGCCAGGCATACAGGGCTGAGAGCAGGACAGGATGGCTGGAGCGCAGTGTGGGGGTGGGGAGAGCAGGGCTGGGGGTGGGAGAGGGTGTAAAGGGCTGAGGCTGGAGGGGCTGGATGTAGGGACCACACCACAGACAGCTATGTTGGTTTAGGACTTTATCTCATAGTCTCTGATCATATGCAATTATCTCATACTCTCTGATCATACACAATTATATTCTCTCTGACTGTGTACAATTACATACATCTGCTTATTACACTGGCATGCAGCTACATGTGCTGGGGGGACAGGACCTGACCACAGTGGGTATTCAGAGAAGCACTAATCCGCTGTCACATCAGAGTCAGCAGGGTTAGTCTATTTCCCTACCTTTATTTTTTATTTTAAAAAGAATCCTTATATTCTTTTGTAAAAATTTACTTTATTTATTTCTGGGTGCACTGGGTCTTCATTGCTTTGCACAGGCATTCTCTAGTTGCAGCAAGCAGGGGCCGCTCTCTTGTTGCTGAGCATGGACTCTAGGGCTTCAGTAGTTGTGACTCACCAGCCCTAGAGTGCAGACTCAATAGTTGAGGCGCACGGGCTTAGCTGCCCCATGGCATGTGGAATCTTGCAGGACCAGGAATTGAACCTGGGGAAGTTCTCCCCTAGCTTTAAGCAGAAACAAACCTAAAGCTGTATATTTTCTCAGGAGAAAAAAAAAAAGTAAAAAGATGACACTTTAAGGAAGTTTATTTATTTTATTAAAACTGAGGAAAAGGGACTTCCCTGGTGGTCGTAGTTAAGACACTGAGCTTCCAATACAGGGGGCCTGAGTCATATCCCTGATCAGGGAAGTAGAATCCCACACGCTGTACGGCACAACCAAAAAAATAAAAAATGCAGAGTGCAATGACAAGGGTACAGAAAGAATGATAATACATTTTAAAAAACCCCAAAAACTGAGGGAAAGAAGTGTCTCGATTTACCTGGTAATTTTCATGCTCTAATTCATGTAAAGACAGATCAATAAAATAATACAAAGTTTCTTACCTGAAGACAACAGTTTACCCCTAAAAGACTTATCTATGTTGTGATTTTTCGGAACAGTTATGATGTAGGAAAATAAGGAAGATTTACAAAACACACACACATCCATGTTTTACAAGGAAGCATGCAGGTTTAGGATGTGTACAAAACACGTTAGTGGGTGTATAAGAGGAGGGAACTGAGAGTAGGGCTCTGAAAAGGGGGAAAAAAAATCAGCATGTGTAGTACGATTCTCTTTTTTGTCAAAAAAAGAAAAATCTAACATGTGTAACTGCAGAGAAAAATGTAAGAAGGGATGTTTGCCAGTATGTGAAGGGTGATACTTCTGGGTGGTGATATCATGGATGAGCTTCCCCGGTGGCCGAGCTGTAAAGAATCTGCTAGATTCTTCAGTCCCTGGGTTGGGAAGGTCCCCTGGAGAAGGAAATGGCAACCAACTCCAGTATTCTTGCCCGGGAAATCCCATGGACAGAGAAGCCTGGGTGGGTTATAGTCCATGGGGTTGCAATAGCTGGGATATGACTTAGCAACTCAGCAACAACCCTGAGTAACTGACATTCTCTTTGTTAATGAGCACTGTAATTTTCCTACAAAGAATGTGTATTATGTATACTTAAAAAAATAATAAAATTGTGAAAAATCCGATTTCGTTAAATGTATAAACACACGTTTAACCTACATCAAGATGTCAAACAGATCTCTGCTCAGCCACTCAAGGCCATCCCCCACCTGCCCGCCCGCTGGCTGCCACCCCATCCGCTCCGCGCGCATCGCTCTGCACGCCACCACTCCCGCTCGCTTGGTCTTTGCTCCTGGTGTTTCTTGTCTTGGTCAGAGTGCGCTCACTCTCTCCTGCCACAAAGCCTTCACTGGAAGGCGAGCTGATGGTGACAAGCCCCAGCTCTGATGCTCTAACTCCTATCAACTGTGGTTGATTTATTTATACCATCGAATTGTTTTCTGAAGCTTTCCCCTCCACATCTTTTCTTCCAGAAAGGCTCCCAGCCCTTCGGGGCAGGGACAGTTTCATTACGTTCCTGAGCTGGGCGCCGCACGGCACCTATCACAACCGGAAAGCAGCCCCGGATACACTTGGGAGGCTGCACGTTTATCATATATGACACTGCGAAAAATAGGTGCAACCGTCGCCACCGCTCAGTCAGAGCTTTCAATCACTTGAGAAGATTTACAATAGTCAACAAGTACCAACTGCCCGTATATCTGCATGTCAAAAGGCATCACTGTAGCAAGGTGGCTCCAAGGACTGCCCACCGACCGACCGCCTGGCTTCCTTCTCTGGAGAGTGCACTGGTAGCCTCCTTGGACTGCTGTCTATCGAGGGCAGAGGCTGTGCGCACACAGGGAGATGAGCCCAGCGGCTCCCCTGCCCGGGTCTGGTCGGTCGGTCAAGCCTGGGAAGAAGCCTGGATACACCGGGCGTGACTGTCCCCCACCCAAAGCAGGCCGCCATGCACCTGGCTGGCACACACTGCCTGTATGCCAACGGGGCCAAACTGTATTTTCAAAAGCAATATTCCACAATTCCCCACTTCCTGACTGAAAGGATCATTTTAATTAGTTACTAATAGAACTCCCGTGGATTTACAGTTTGAGCAAATCAAGCTTTAATCTTCTTAAGCATTTAATTACTGGCATTTGAAAGGCACGGCATTGTGGGTAATGGCAGCGACTCTCTTGAAATGAGACTGGGGTGAGGCTGTGGAAAGAAGTTGGGAAATGGCCTTGGTCTAATTTTTATTTTTTGTCTAATTTTTAAAGTGTTGCTCTTCTAATTCTTGTATCCTGTGAGGACACATTAGAATACACATGGTCAAAGGGAAAATTTACCCAGCATTATTCTAGGGAAATGAGAAAATGGTTAACTTCAAAGTACCTGTCAAAGGGGACGTTCAGTAAACAAACCAGATGTTATGATGCTGAACGATGAAAAAGCAAATTCATTGAAAAAAGAATGTTATGGTGAAATTGGCAAAATTTATGTTCTGTAGATTTTATCTCAATAAGAAATTGTGTAAATAGTAAATGAAAAAAAAAGAAAAAAGAATGTCATGACAAAACTTAAATAAACGCTTAAAAATGACAATGTATATATCTATATCTGGAGAACTGTTTAGAATGTGACTCATAAACACAAAAAATTATTTCTAATGTTTCTATTAATACCAAACTAGGATTCTTCATCAAATACCACTTCTCACACACACACCAGCCGCCATTTCCCCCAATAACATAAAGGACCAAGTGGTCTGCTTTCATAGCTCACTTTATACCAAAGGGTTATAAATACCTGAAAATAAATGTTTCTTCTCCTCTGAACTTGTGTTGTAAATGGTGCAGTAGATTTGAAGTCTAAACAGCTTAGTCTCAGTCTTCTGACACATCTCCACTGCATGAGTATTACGTGCCACTTTGTGAGCAGCTTATAAAAGGAAGCTCCTTTCATACTAGAATTGTATTTTATTCTACTATTACTGTTTTTCTGATTTTCTGACACAACAGGTCTTATTTTCCTGGTTTTCTCAAAGAAAAAAGTGGGCCTCCCTGGTGGTTTAGTGGTAAAGAATCTGCCTGCCCATGCAGGAGACAGGGGTTCGATCCCTGGTCCAGGAACATTCCACACGCGGCAGAGCCACTAAGCCCCTGTGTGCACAACTACTGAGGCTGTGCTCTCGAGCCCAAGTGCCGCAACCACGGAAGCCTCAGTGCCCTAAAGCCCGCCTTCCGCAACAAGAGAAGCCACTGCAATGAGAAGCCCACACACCACTAGAGAGTAGCCCCAGCTAGCGGCAACTATAGAAAAGCTTACACAGCAACAAAGACCCAGCACAACCAAAAGAAAAAAAGTGAGCAGGAGGGGAGGCTGAGGCGTTTCTCAGCAGAGTCGGAGGTGCAGAGCCCAGCCCAGTGGCCATGGAGGGGTGGCTCGAGCCATCTGTGAACCTACCTCCTGCCGCTCCACGTCCATGTTCCAGACCACGATCCCGCCATCACCGCCACAGGAGATGAGCTGCCGCGTGTGCTGTGCGTAGGACAGGGCCTGGACTTTGTCACTGCCGAAGAAGCAAGAGTCAGTGACAGTTCCCGAGGGCAGGGGGAGTCCCGAGGGCAGGAAGCCTGGCGGTGACTCACGTGCAGGCTCACCCCCGAGTGCCGCCCAAGAGCAGACCTTGGAGACTGGAATGGAATGGTCCACATGCTAACGTCGGGAGAGTACTAGAGACTTTCAACATTTAAAATAAGTCAAAATGCTCATTTAATAATTAGCAATGTTGAACATCTTTTCATGTGCCTGTTGGCCATCTGCAGGTCTTCTCTGGAGAAATGCCTACTTAGGTCTTCTGCCATTTTTTTTGGATAGGGTTGTTTGTTTTCTGATGTTGCGTTGTCTGAGGTGTTTATGTATTTGGGAAATGAAGCCTCTGCTGATTGCATCTTTTGCAAATATTTTCTCCCGTTCCATAGGCTGTCCTTCCGTTTTGCTGATGGCTTCCTTTACTGTGCAAAAGCTTGTAAATTTGATTAGGTCCATCTGCTTATTTTTGCTTTCATTTCTTTTGCCTTGGGACACTAACTGAGAAAATACTGCTATGATTTATGTCCAAAGGGGCACGTGGAGAAGGGATAAATTGTGATTATGGGATTAGCAGATACACACCATTACATATAAAATAAACAACAAGGATTTACTGTATAGCACATGGAAAATATATATATATATGTTCTTCCCTAGTGGTTCAGTGGTAAAGAACCTGCTGGCCAACGAAGGAGATGCCGCTTTGATCCCTAGGTTGGGAAGATCCCCTGGAGAAGGAAATGGCAACCCACTCCAGTATTCTTGCCAGGGAAATCTTGTGGACAGAGGAGCCTTGTGGGCTAAAGTCCATGTGGTTGCAAAAGGGTAGAACACAACTTATCAACTAAACAACAACAACAAATATATGTATATGTATAGCTGGATCACTTTGCTGTATATCTAAAACTAACTCAACATGGTAAATCAACCATAGGTCAAATGTTTAAAATGCTCATGTGAGATGCTAAGGCCCCAAGAAGAGGCTGTCTCTGTCAGTTACCAACAGTTCAGGAAAAAAGCGGTGGAACTGCTTATAATCTTACTGGTTCCTTAATTGATCAATTAAATAAAATCTGTGCCATCTGTCCATGTTACAGTTGTAAGGTCATCGGGCACCTGGAGCCAGGTAACCTGTGCTGCCTGAGGTGCGAGGTGCCAGCTCGGCTCCCAGGGTGAACCCACAGCAGCAACAGACTTGAGTTCACTGAGCATCCCTCTCTAGTTCTCATGCCCTCTTTCCTCAGTTTGTGTCTTCTTTTTCTCTCTGGTTGGGACACGGCTGACAAGTTATTCCCTCCTGGTGGGGAATCCAGTTTACGGGTCTGACAATGTGGTGACCACCAGCAAAAGATGGTAGAGAGATCTACTCCACCTTGTGAGAGAAAGAAACGGGGAGTCTGGTTTCTTGGCGGTTTTTGTTTGAATATTCTTGTTTTGAGCTCAAATTAATTGAGAATTATGTGCTCACTGGGAAGGAGAATAATTCTGTGGAATCTGGATTGGTGATTTTGTGTGTGTGTGTTTTTGTGTTTACTTTTGACTTGTGGCTCCAGTTGTAGAAGTGAAGCTGTTAAGCTCTGCGTGTCTGTGTCTGAAATTCAGGGGGCCTTTACCTCTTATGTATGGAACGCTTTCCTATTTTTAAAGGTGTCAATACATTAGATTATGGTACCTGTTAAATTATAAGCACTTGCTTATAAAAATAAGCAAATGTTTATATAAACTGAATATTCTTGAACTTCACAGAAAATAAGGAAATTAACCCCTAATGCTTTAAGTTACTAGGCTTAAAAGTAAAAATTATTTTACAGAAAATACTATCTAACTCAGTGATATTTTAAGACTCCCAAGTACACAAAACTAAGGTTAACTGTTTGGCAAATAAGAGTAATGCGATGAGTTTCAAAACACAGCCATGTCTATTTCTGGATTTATTAATGTTAAATATAATGCAAATGTACATTTTGTTTTACTCGGGTTGATTTCTTCTAAAGTTACATAAGATAAATGGTCAAATAAGCTAATATTATGCCTATATAATATTTAAGATTATGAAAAATAAACAGGTTCAATTAAATAATGTTTCTAATAAACTTTAGATAACAATTATGTTTTGTAGCATACCAACTTAAAGATAATTCCCAAGATCTTTGGGTAACTTACAATGGAATCATAGTAAGTTGAGCTAATTAATAGTCACTAGACACCTACACTGTGGCAGATGAAATTCCAATACTTTGGCCACCTCATGCGAAGAGCTGACTCATTGGAAAAGACCCTGATGCTGGGAGGGATTGGGGCAGGAGGAGAAGGGGACAACAGAGGATGAGATGGCTGGATGGCATCACCGACTCGATGGACATGAGTTTGAGTAAACTCCGGGAGTTGGTGATGGACAGGGAGGCCTGGTGTGCTTCGATTCATGGGGTCGCAAAGAGTCGGACACTACTGAGTGACTGAACTGAACTGAGACACCTACACTAGATAATTTCTTTCTTTTTTAAAAAAATTAATCTATTTATTTTTGGCTGCATCAGGTCATAGGGCATTCAGAGTCTTTCCTTGGAGCATTCAGGCTTCTCTCTGGTTATGGCTTGAGGGCTCAGTAGACCTTTGGCATGTGGGATCTTAGTTCCTCAACTAGGGATTGAACTTGCGTCCACTGCTTTAGAAGGTGGACTCTTAACCACTGAACCACCAGAGAAGTCTTGATCATTTCTAAATAAGTTACTGAAATTTCGACTGTAAAGCATAATATTTAAGATTATATATGTTTGCTTATTTTTATGTGCTATAAAGAGACTAACTTAGGCATGTGTGTGCTCAGTCATGTCCAACTCTTTTTGACCCCATGGACTGAAGCCCTGCCAGGCTTCTCTGTCCATGGAATTTTCCAGGCAAGAATACTGGAGCAGGTTGCCATTTCTTACTTCCTAACCCAGGGATCAAACCCCCATCTCCTGCATCTTTTGCATTGGCAGGGGGATTCTTTACCACTGCGCCACCTGGGAAGCCCAACATAACTTAGATGAGTCATGTCAAATGAACATATTCCTTTCTTTTACCACTTTGGTGGTTCAGTCGCTAAGTCACATCCAACTCTTGCAACCCCGTGGACTGTAGCCTGCCAGGCTCCTCTGCCCATGGGATTCTCCAGGTAAGAATACTGGAGTGGGTTGCCATTCTCTTCTCCAGGGGATCTTCCTGACCCAGGAAATGAACCCGGGTCTCCTGCATTGCAGGCAGATTCCTTACCAACTGAGCTATGAGGGATGTAAAAGTGATTGCAGTAGAAGCTGATGTCACATGTTTCATGAGCTGTGCTAAGATGCTCCATATGATGGAAAGTTCTCAATTATCCATATCCTCTGTCCTCCCAGTTTTCTCTACAAAATAAGTTAGTTACTTTGGTTAATTACTAGAATTAAAATGGGTGGCTGAGACAGTGCCAGGTGCAATGATGAGAAGGAAATACAACTGTGTCTGTGTTTTTGTTTTGGGGAGGGAAAAAAAATGAGAGTTTTAAAGCAGTGGTTCTCAAACTTTTTAGTCTCAGGACCCCTTTACATTCTCAAGTCTTATTTGAGGACACCAAAGAGCTTTAGTTTAAGTGAGTGGTAACTATCAACATAACTGGCCTGATGGTAACTATCAATATAACTGACCACCTAAACGCGAAGAGCCGACTCATTGGAAAAGACCCTGATGCTGGGAAAGATTAAGGCAGAAGGAGAAGAGGGTGACAGAGGATAAGATGGGTGGATGGTATCACTGATTCAGTGGATATGATCTTGGGCAAACTCTGGGAGATGGTGAGGGACAGGGAAGCATGGCATGCTGCGTTCTGTGGAGTCTCAAAGAGTTGGACACGACTTGGCAACTGAACGACAACTATCAATATACGTGAAATCAATCTGAGAAATTTTAAACCTATTGATCCATCTGAAAACAGCAATGATGAATCCATTCCTTTTTAACCAAATAATATATATTTGGGGGAAAATGTATTTTCCAAAACAAAATATTCTGAAGGCAAAATGGCACTGTTTAATATCTGTGCAAGTCTTTCTAATGTCTGGCTTAGCAGGAGAGAGCCAGACACTCATCTCTTTCTGTGGGCATTATGATGTCCCTCATGTAGCCTCTGGAAAACTCCATTTTATACTTTTGAGAGAGCTTGAATGAAAAAGGCAATTTTAAAGTAAAATATAAATTTGTTCCAGAGTATCAAACAGGAAAAATAAAGGACAAAACATGGAAAGTGAATTTTGCTTACTATGGTTTATAACACTCGGGAGTCTTAAAAAAAAAAGCTGCAAAATACATTATAATCTTGGTATAGTTCCTCCGTTGGTTTTGATCGCTTGCTTCCTTAGTTTGCTCATTCATGCCTTGGACTACAATGCAAAAGGATATTCCTTACCTTCTATGGAATCTGCCTAGCTAGCAGAGATTTTGTCTCACCAAAATCCTTTTCAGAGCTTTATGCTGATTTGAAAAGTTCTTGATTATTTAAGGACTGAAAAGAAGAACAAGGGCCCTCATTTGTAAAAAGAGCTAAATTCTTTAAGATGGTGTTGCTTTCTGTATTTATTTCCCAAGTCTTCTTGCCCTGATTATATAGATAGCCAAGTATTGTTTTTTTAGGCACCTGTGCTCCTATCTTAAGTATCTAAAGATAAGTATCCTCTGACAATAATTTTGGTTTTGCCTTCCCAGCTTGAGCCCTATATTTGGGGGGAAAATTGTTTAGGATATTTTTCACACCTAAAACTATATTTGAGATTTCCTAGAGGGGTTCTGGAAAATCACAGAGATCTGTTTCCTTTGTCTCATAAAAATAGAGATGGTATTAAAAAAAAAAATCACATTTGTTTACTGTGTTACTATTTTAAGAGTTGCAAAAGTTGTCAGATCAGAGAAGATGCTTAGTCTTCCCTAGGTTACGTCAGTATAGCTAAAAGATTATTAATATAT